AAGTACGACTGCATGGCCATATGATTCCCCTAGGCGTCGCAAATATATATATATGTTTAAAGGTTGGAAAGCCATTGAATTTAGGCAGTTTGTTTTATACGCCGCGCCTGCAATATTGATAAACGTGCTACCGGGAGAATATTACGACAACTTTTTACACCTTCATCTGGGAATATACATCTTCTGTCACCCGCTGTTGCATAAGCATTACTGGTCTTTCGCGAAATGGTTGACGCTTAATTTCATACACGGATACTACCGCCTGTACGGGAAAGACCAGATGAAGTACAATGTTCACTGCCTAAGTCACCTAGCATTGGATGTGGATGTGCATGGAACGCTTGGTGATTTCTCCGCGTTTCCATTCGAGTCTTATATAGGCGTCCTGAAGCGAGTAGTGCGAAACGCACGAAATCCCGCGGCGCAGATTGTGAGACGGTGCTTGGAATATGCAGACGTCTCCAATTTCTCGCGTTGGCCTGAATCTCAGCTTACTCGCATCCAACATCGTGCCTTAACACGTCGTGAACTGTTGATACTGGGTGGTACAACGTACGCATACAGCGCACTTGGTAACGTGCTCATTTTATCTGATTACCCGTATTGCATTGTCCGGTTTGACTATATGGGCTCAGAATGTGAGACCATTGTTTGTAAAGCTTCCACGGGCGTGCATGCGTTGTACCATCTCCGGATACCATCTTCCGTTTGCAACATATTTGCAGCATCAGGCATCAGCGATGATCTCCTATCATTCCGTGTGAGTGATATACTTTGCAAATGTGTGTGCTTCTCTGTTAATGACTTCTTAGCTATTGTTCCCCTGTTGCATACCTTTAGAACTCCGGATTGTAATACGTGAAGTATTGTGCACTCTCAGGGTCCCTAAATATTCATTTTCACTTAGCTGTACTTGCGTTTCTTCATGCTTTTACTGACTATTTATTTCAAAGTCTATGCTTATTTTTTATTTCCCTGGACTGACTTTTTATTTTCCTCTTATTTACCTTATGACTGGGGATTCTTTCTCAACGGGTTGCACTTATCCTGTTATACGAGGTCCCTTAATACCTCTTCATGGAGTGTGTTCGCGGGGCGTCCATAACACACATGTATTCACTCCACCTACTGAGGGACAGTACATCTTCATACGGTGGTTCATATCAATACTGTTTTGGGCAAGCGCGGGTGATGCGGAACGAAGCAACATTGGAATGGGCTACAAGATCGTAACTGTATTCCGCCGATAAGCAAATGAAGGGCTGTTAACAGCGTGAATACGTCTATGTGCAGCAGAATAGCAAACCACAGGGCGCTGAATGCACTCTTAATGGCAAACATCTGCGTTGACAAGCACTCGACAAACGATGTAAAACAACATGAAAACATGGGATGACCTTTACCAGCACCGACGCAGGTAACATGCACATTACATTACACACGCTGACAGGTTTTCAATGGCAATGCATTCAACGGCACACCTATTCAGGAGACAGCACGGGCGTTTCGGAGTGGGGGTTCATGTACATATATTATTTATTATTTAAAAGTTTCGTTGCCGTCATATTGTTTCTCATAATCAGTGTTTGTGCAAACGGACTTGCATAAGTCATCTAGTTCAGCGTTGTGGTCTCATTAACATATTGCGTCGTTTCCCTGAGTACGTCCACTGGGGCCACGCTTACGACCATAAGCAGCTTCTGGCTGCTTGGGGACGGTTGCCGGGCGTTGCTACCAAACATCCCCTCTTCGGAATACCTAAACGCTGTGAAGGAACACCGGCCGGCGGACGGGAACTGTCCGTTCGCCCACGTGACTATACTTCGGCGAACCAGTAAGTTCTGTGCTGTTATAAGTCTTCAGTGGATTTCGATCAGGCTAGTGCAATAGCCAACTCCGTCGACCTTTCGAACTTACCCGAAGACACGGATTCAACACTCGACATGGGCACACCCCCATGTAAACTCATGTGTTGCCACATCTATATAAAATTTCATCACAGACGCATACCACGTCGTTTGATTTGAGCCCACCCCGGGTAGCGCATGGTTCCCACAGCCGTTCCCTATGGCTCTCCACCTGTCTCTTTTTTAACTGAGTTTGCTCGCTGGAAGGGTAAAAACCGACGTCAGTGGTCTTCCCAGCAATACAACATGCGTGGATACAAACAAGCTTATACCGGAAAGGGGTACATTTTTCTTAATGTCAAACTTCAGCGTTCAATACCGCATCTAACTGCGGTGAAAATCCGAATGCGCAGATTCGGAAAACAGGTTCCGGTTTGTGCCTATACTTTGCAGCTTGAGTGTCCTAGTCCTGGGTCTACCTCTGACTCCTCCTTCATCAACGTTCCTACAAGCGATTGGAATGGCATTCACCGTAAGCATGTACTTGCGGTTGTACCATTTTCCTGCATTCGAAATGGACCAACTGAAGAATAGACTGGAGTCCATAGATGGTAACTTCCTACATTTCTAAAACAGGGTTTACGTTTGCAGGC